TCTTTAAATTACCTCCTTTCAACTCATTTAATATGAATAACCGATTACTTTATTTGCCCTTATTTTTTATCAATAAATTTAAACATAGAAGGGTAAATTTTGTCCTTAGAAAATTCCAGAAATATTCTTGAGGCCATTCGTGCTTGTTAAACTAGTATAGGTGGATGCATCCTTAATTCTTATTCACCAGTTTGAAGGAATTAGAAAGGGAAGTAAAAAAATGCTTGGACCTACCATTTTGGTGGTTTGCTCCAATTCTAAATATGCAATACATTAACAAAGATGATACTTAACTACATGACCTATCATTTATTAGAGGAGATCATGGGCAAGGCCAAGCTTAGCACATATAAACAGGGTTATAGCTCGGATCTAGACCTTGAGTCAGACCTTGAAGTCTTTGATTTTAAATACAATAATACAATGTGCTAAAAATCTATGATGTTGGAAAGACATGATACCGAAAAGGATTTGACCAATCAAAACCCCTCATGAATTTTGATGAAAACCCACCTAATTGGTTACTACTTTTATGATGCCTATTGAGTGGTTATGATACATATGAACTTAGAAGTCAAGAGTTTCTTTCTATGTTTTCTTCACCGAAAAGCAAGTCTGAAATAGGGCTGCAACTTGGGCTGGCCCAACCTAGCCCAAAATTGTATACAAGTTGGGCTTGGATTTTCAATTCTTGAGTTGGGACCAAACCCAAGACTTCAAGCTTTTTTTATTTTTTAAGCTAGGCCTTGGTCTATCCCTTAGGTAGCCCAAACCCAACCCGAGTCTACCCGATGTTTTCTCTACTCAAATCCAACTTCAGCCCAACTCAACTATACACATTCATACATACATACATATATGCACACATGTACATGAAATTTTAGAGTGGGTTCATTAACCAACCTTAGCCTAGCCTAGGTCAAGCCCAACCTAAGTGAATCAAATTATAGTGTGGGTTGGGCTTGAGTTGAGAAGATCAAGGTTGGCCTCGAGCTTGGTTTAGGATCAGGCCTTAGGCCCTAATCTTAGGTATGGACTTGGGTTGACCATAAATCCAAACCAGCTTGCCCAACTTGCACCCCTATCCTCAAAATCCCAGTTCTAAGATGGGCAAAAAAAGGCCAAAGCAAAGGAACACTACACAAGCACAACCAATAGCTTCAGACTCTCTCTTATAAGAAACTACTCCTACTAAGTGGAGTCTCAGCCTTCTTCCCAATCATTCTCGATCTCATGATTGAAGAAGAAAAAGAAGAAGAAGAAGAAGAAGAAGAAGAAAGGAGTTGAAAGAGAGTAAAGGAGGGGCAATTAATTGTGAGTTAGGTTTGTGTTTCACAATTTCAAAAAGGAGGAGTCCATGGAGGGATAAAACTATCACATATAAAAGGCTATAAATGTTTTACTACCAAAGGGCCTATTTGTGTCAAGTGGGTCTACTAATAATGTATATTTAATTAACTTTGGAGACAATGTATAGTGAAGTAGTTTAGTAAAACTAGAGGATATATTTAAATAATTTAAGCCTTTTTTTTAATTCATTGTGAACTCAAATTGTGAAACCATTCAACCCACTACTAAAAGGGGGTTAGAGTCTTTAAACCTCCAAATTGCTAGGTCTTAAGATACTTGCCAACAAACAATGATAGGACATTACTCTTTTTTAATTCCTCCTCTGTCAATATCTCCCTTTTTTTCCTTTTATTTGTTCATTTCTCTCATTTAATACATTTCAATCTTTGTTATAGCATTTTGATTAAACAATTTCAACCAAAATAGTTAAAATGTGCAACTTCACACTTCCATGCCAGATTTTTAAAGCACTGAGCACAATTGAACAACAACTATGTGTTTAAAAATTGGTTTCTTAATTGAACACATTATCATTAATATAATCTTAAGATAGTATAGCTTGTTTTGTTGACTTTAAACTCTATGGATATGGCAATGTTGCTAATAAAACATTCTTGGATAGTTGCAAAACAAAAGCAAAGTTTTAACATATTCAAATATTATGGTGTCAAAACTAATTAATTGTGGCTTAGTTGGTAGGTCCTCTAGTTGTTTGTAACGGAGTCAAATCCCATTGACACTAGAGTTAAGGGGTTATGGGTTTGGGGATGGGCTACCCCATTTTTGTAGTCCCATAATGCATATGCATGAATTTCGATGATTGGTTACCACCAATGATTAAAGTATCGATATTGGGTATCGTATCAGACCACTCGGATACAGACACAGATACAGATATGGATATGCTTTGGAAGCGTATGGATACGAGAAAAAAAAATGGAAATGATTGGATACGCTAGGAATTCATATAAATTCCACAAATATATTAATACCATTATAGTTAAGGTCAAAATAACCATAATTAATGTATAAATACATAGGAATTGCATATTCTAATGGTATGTGTGAACAAATGTATTACAAATGATATAGCACATAGAAATCATACAACTTTATTGATAATGTATCAATCAAGAGTGGTAGAACATATTATATTTCTTCTTACAAATTAATACATGTACAAAGTTATAATTATATTATTTTCCATTGAAGTTCAAGGCACAAAACATATGCAACTATTATATCTAAATTATTATATCAATTATTTCCTATTTTGCTATTTTTAATTTTTAACATTAAAAAAGTCAATTAAAATTAATTCTCAAATGTTTGGTAAACAATATTTTTATAATTTTAACTTAAAATATTTCATTAATAAAATAATTATTCCATTAATAATATTTTTATTTATATAAAATTTATGAAATAAAATAATGATTTTTTATTATGAAAGTAGATTAGCCGATTTGACAAATTCAATTTATATTATATTCTCAAATATTTGGTAAACAACATTTTTATTTTTGTAAATAATAAAAATACTGCTATTTAATTAAAATTAAAATATTAATTAATAATTTATAAAATTTGAAGATACACATCGAGTTTAAATTTATAAACTTTAAGTATTAGATAATTATTCTACTATTAACATTTTTATTTGAATAAATTTCTTGACATTAAAACCACTTTTTGACATAAATGTAGATTTATAAATTTATTCCATTAGTTTACAAAATAATAATTTTGATTATTATTTTTTTCATCTTTAGTTGAAGTTGTTAAACATAAATATATATTGTTTATTTGGATTACATTTACACGTTTAGATAAAATTTATTTTATTTCATTAATTATCATAAGACATAAGCTAACCTAGTGGTTTAAAGCTGCACTTGAAGTGCATGTGCCAATGCGGAAGCATAAACACAGTCAGTATTGTATTGTATCATATATCACATTACATAAGTTGACATTATATAATAAAATTTAATTTTTATGGCTTGCACCAAAACCAAGGCAAGTATCCATTTTACAATAGTATAGATGTAAATAATTTTCTAAAATAGGATGTGAGTGTCTAGTGGCTACTATTTTATTATTTGTCACCATAATAACCCATAATAAAGATGCAATGTACACTTACTCAACAGAGGTGAATGCATCTAGAGGTGTAAAATGTGTTGTGGTGCTCGTGGCTTGGCACAATGGAATGTAGGTCATGCTAGGCATGGCACAACCATACATGTCATGCTGCCCATGGCCCATGTGTCGGTACGACCTACCAAAGAAACTAGTCATTGGGGGCCCTCCCCCCCTCCAACAACTAATTTTGGCTTTTGGGGGGGTTTACAGAAATACCCCTTAACAATTATAAACATCTTTGTAGGAGTATTTATGTATTTTGGCTTTAGGGGAGAGAAAATGACAACAATGCCCCTCTAACAGTTATATAATAGCTAGTATGGGGGCATTTGGATAAAGTGATAAATGACTTTATAATGACCAAAAATACCTCTCCCAACAAGTAAAAAAAGGCTTTTTTTTATATTTTGGGAAATTGAATTATTTTCAATTTTTATAAATAGCCATATCCCCCACCATTTTCATAACACTAATTTAGCAATTTTCATACTCTCCATCTTTCTCATACAGTCTCATACTCTCACAACTCTCCAATTTAGCAATTCTCAACTTTGCAAAAATGCCACATGATATTATACTTGAGGAAGGCTAAAAAATAATAATTTGTATAAAAGAGTTTTTACAAAATTTTTATGATACAACTAATGAATTTTCGGGTGTTAATTACCTAACTAGTTGTATTTTAGCTAATCAATTATTGTGGTTAGTGAATTTTTGTAAAATATAGAATAAATTCACAATTTAAAAATATTATTGAAATACTAAAAAATACTGGGAAAACATTTATCCACTTTATTGCTTAGTTAAAGTATTAGATCATATGATTAGGAAAGATGGTTTAAATATTTTTCTTGAATCATATTATGAAAATATGAATATTGAAATTAGAAATGAAAACAAAGAAAATTAATAGTTTATTATTTCAAATGTATAATTTATATAACTACAAGAAAAATCTACTTTAGCAACGGACAAAACCATTGCAAAAGGATACCAAAAACCGTTGCTAAAGGATATAGCAACGGTTTAGCCACGGTTTTTTGTTGGTGGCGGATATTGGCGTGGCTAAAACCTATAGCCACGGAGTACATCGTGGCTACAAATATATGTATAACAACGGTTTTAACCGTTGCTAATAAAAAAAATTATTGCAACGGATTTATTTTGTTTCGTTGCTACAAATTGCTATAGCAACGGTTTTAGCCGTGGCTATAGAATGTAGGCTATTGATGAATAAGAAGAAATAGCAATGGTTTTAAGTAAAACCATTGCTAGAAGTATTAACCATTCGTTTGTATTGCCATGGTTTTTTACATTAACGGTTGCTATAAAATTCTTATAGCAATGGTTAGAGTCAAAAACCGATGCTATAGAATGGTCGTCACAAAACAGAACCGCTTCTAAAATTGTTGTTGTATGGAACCTTTAGCAACGGTTTTATCAAACCATTGCTAAAAGTGTAGTTCTCATTTGATTTTTTGATGAATGCCATCACAAAAAAAAAATTAATTTCACATGTTCCTGTATGATAAAAACTTTACAAATTTATACAAAATATTCATAGTAGTCTTTATTCAATACACACTTTTAATACATTTTTTTCATCACCAAAAAAGAAAAGAAAATTAACAAAATTATCCTTATTGCATCTGAACAGTTGATTATATGCACGTGCATCATACTCAAGACCTTCGCTTTGGATCATAAACATCAGTATGTCATGTTCAACAAAAATGAATACATAAGGATTGATATCAATAATTAGATATATAAATTAAATTGTAATGTAAGAGTTTTATATGCATTATACATTACCATTGATTTAACCCATGTGATGTGAGATCCAAATGCATCTCCAAGAAGTTCTTGAGAAGTGTTCATTGGTAAAGGACCTTGAGATGCTACCCTTTGGTGATCTTACTGAAATAGGAGAAAGAGGAGTTAATCTTAGTGGCGGTCAGAAGCAATGTATTCAACTTACTCGTGCATTGTATCAGAATGAAGGCATTTATCTTTTAGATGATTCATTCAGTGCTGTTGATGCACATACTGCTACCAGCCTATTTAATGTAATTTCATATTCTCTTTTCCATGAAATTTATACATTTATGGCTACCATTTGTATTGATATCTGATTTGAATTGTTTCAAGAATATGTAATGGGAGCTCTTTCGGGGAAAACTATCGTACTAGTGACCCACCAAGTTGATTTTCTTCCTACATTTGACTCTATTTTGGTTGGTGGAAATTCAACTCCTGTATTCTTCTTTTATAAATTCGGGAAAAAAAAAAACTTATAATTACCCTTTATTGTGAACCTAAGAGCAAATTCAGGACTAATCAGTTTTTGGCCTCATCTTTTGTTGCCAAAATCCTAGATAACCAAAAAGTGTGTTGTCTTTTGTCTATCAAAGGTGAGAATTTTTATATATGAACAAAAATGTTATTACTATTAATTGAATTGGTAAAAGCGCAATCAACTTGTGCTTTCCAATCAATATGACATAGCCCTACCAATAGGCTTGCCATGATTACGTATAAAGGAATTTTTAGGGAGTATTGGTCAAAATGAGTTCAAGTTACATATCTACTGGAACTACTTTATGAGACAAGGGCTCAAAAAATGCTTTATGTTTCTTTATTGATTTTGATAACTGGCAGTGCAGTGTTGCATAGACTCTTGTAAATGGAAAACATGTCCCTGTCAAACACGCATTGGATTCCAACACTCCACATATACCTGAAGGACACTTCTATGTAACATTTCCTTTTCTTCTACTAGCTTATTTGACATAAATGAACAGATAATGTACAAAATGAGTGCCATTTTTCCTATAAAACATTACTTAGTAACAAAGGTAACATTCTAGACCCCTTTTTTATAGTTATATAATGTTGAAATTCAAATAATATGAACTATTTTAATAGTATATACTTCTCTATAAATATGTCTATAAGTCCATGTTTTCTCATTTTACCAAGTTGGAAATAAGTCAGGTTCCAACTCAATTGTCCAAGTCCATGCAACACTGAAGTAGTATAATCTGATCTTTAGAGTCACTGAAGTTATTTATTTATTTATTTTTTTTTTGAAGAATACAACTTGATTCTCTTAATATGTTAACAGTCCTAAACTGAAGATAATAGAGCAATTCAACAAAACATCCTAAATGAGATCTTTATTCTACTTGGCCAGTATGCAACAGATCCAAAACCAAACCTCAAAAGTAAACACAAAATGACAAGAGATTAAACCTTCTTGAGCAATGCAGCGACAAGGAGATGAAGCTAGCAAATGACCCTTCATGCTTATTCCAACTTAGATGCTAAACTAACCTAATATTATCTCTACTTTACAAATTCAAGAAAAGGAAAGGGGGGACTGATGTTACCAAGGGATTATTCCAATGCAAACAAACTTAAAGAAAATGAACTAAAGCTAATATGGAGCAACAAATTCAATAATGGGAAACTGAACTCAGTATGGATTTATTGGTTATTGATACCCAAACAACTTTAAAAATAAAGGAAATGGTTGACCAAAGCCACTCTTGAGACCAGCATCCAAAGCTAACATTCAGAACACAGATTAATGACCAATTGTGAAACAAGGATCAAACTGAATGATCTGACTGGAGTTCGAAAACCTGTCGTCCCCATCAGTAAACCGACAATTTGTTAAGTGCAAAATTCAGAGACATCCTCATCGAGACAAAAACCAATGGTTAAAGTTAAAGATCCTCAACTTGTCTTCAAGTCTGAAATGCTCAAAAAGAAAACCAGTGACTGACCTGCTCCCCTGAAGGTCAGCTCAGAAGGGGATGAGCTATGCCTCATTATTTTTTCATTTCTTTTAGCATTTTTTTGGGTGTGATTTTGTAGTTCCTGGAGCTGCTTGTCACAAAAATCCATCATTCATGTGTTGCTTTTTCATGGCTTCTCTCCATCCCCCAAACAAAAAAAAAAAATGCAACTGATTGCCAGAAATCACTAAATTGCCAAGTTGTAACTGAGAAGTGACCTAATGTGACTGATTAGTTTAATAAATTGTTTCTGGCTTAACATGTAAGTGGTAATAGTGGTGGAAGGATGTTGTATCTGTACATGAACTGATGTCAAAGCAATTTATGAATGCATTTTGTGAAATAATATCATTTTCCTTTCTTCAGCCTTAATCTCAACTATTTGGGATTCATTCACAAAACAATTCTGTAGCTACATGAATCCTCTCCTGGCAATTTGCTCCATCAAAAGTCATGTTCTGTCAAATTATAATTTCCTAGATTATATGCTACTGTATGGTGTATTTTAAAATGAACCTATCATTTTCACAGTTAATGTCAGATGGGGAAATCCTGCATGCCGCTACTTATCACCAGCTATTGGCCACTAGCAAAGAATTTCTGGACCTTGTCGATGCGCACAAGGAAACTGCAGGTCCTGAAAGGTTGGCTGGGGTAGTTTCTTCCAAGGGACATGAAACTTCTTCTAGAGATATAAAGAAGACGTACCAAAAAACAGTTAAAAGAATCAATACAAGATCAGTCGATTAAGCAAGAAGAGAGAGAAACAGGAGATATGGATTTCAAGCCATACATTTTGTATCTGAGTCAGAACAAGGGATTCTTCAACATTTCTCTTGCAATTCTCACTCACCTCATTTTGTGGCTGGACTGATATCACAGAATTCTTGGATGGCTGCAAATGTTCAAAACCCTCATGTTAGCAGATTGAAACTAATCCTAGTATACTCGACAATTGGATTTTTCTCAGTTTTCATTTTGTTCATCAGATCTCTTGCTATAGTTGCTTTAGGTATCCAGTCACCCAAGTCTTTATTTTCTCAGCTATAGAACTCTCTTTTCCGTGCACCTATGTCCTTTTACGACTCTACACCTCTGGGAAGAATACTGAGCCGGGTAAGCATTTATATCAAAAAGAAATACTGAAATCTATGCTTTAGGGATTTGTCTAACTTAACTTCATGCTTCTTATATAGGTCTCTTCCGATTTAAATATCATCGATCTTGATGTTCCATGTTTACCTTTGGATCTACCATCAATTCATATGCCAATCTAGGAGTACTGGCTGTTGTTACTTGGCAAGTCCTTTTTGTCTCAATACCAATGGTTTATCTGACAATACACCTACAGGTAATAAGATGTGATAGGAGGAATACTTTATAGCAATGGTTTATCTGACAATAGCAGGGCACAAGGCTCCCGCCAATGTGGGATCTGGGGCGGGACAGATGTATACAGCCTTACCCCTGCTCATACAAAGAGTTGTTTCCAAGATTTGAAACCTGGTCACCCAAGTCACAACGGAGCAACCCAACCGTTGCGCCAAGGCCCACCAAGGTCACCCAGAAATTGTATGAAGCAGCGTGTTTCCTATCATACATATAGCTGCCGAACTTGAATTTTTGGGCACTACACTGTGGCTAACTTGGATATGAAACTGGTTCCTGGGGCAAATATTCTTCCCCAATCATACTGTCTCAACAATCTAATATAACCCACCTGGTTTAAGCGTGCAAAGTGCAGGGGCAGGAAGAACTGAAAGCTATCCATACATAAATACATATATAACAGAAGCTCCCCTGTTTCTGCCACATGGAGAGATGATTTGGCAGATCCAAACCAATCACCAAGTAGGGGATCCTCTGGATTAGCCATGTGTTCAATCTTCATGTTACATCAGACCTATACCCCACCCTATTTTGAATTTCCCTGGCAAAATATTGGCTATTCAAAGTTTTAATTTTTACTACAAAAGTTCCCCAAAATAAGGGCTTATTGTGTACATGTGGCAAATATTTTGGGGCTGAAATTTGTCCCATGAGTAGAGCCTGCAAGAGACACATATGGTGCCTTTTTGGTCGTTTAGGGAAGCTCACTAAATGACTCAACTAGCAAACTCACTCACTCCCACAAATATAATTGTTATAGCCTTTTTCATCAACAACTAACTCTTTAGAAGTTAATTTTTAATCCATAGAGGTACTACTATGCTTCTGCAAAAGAGTTAATGCAGATAAATGGCATAACCAAATCTTTGGTAGCAATCATCTAGCAGAATCAATAGCAGGAGCCATGGCAATCAGGGCTTTTGATGAGGAAGAACGCTTCTTCGCTAAGAATCTGGACCTCATTGACACAAATTCTACTCCGTTCTTCCACAACTTTGCAACCACTGAGTGGCTGATTCAACGTTTAGAAATGTTGAGTGCCACTGTTCTTACTGCCTCTGCACTTGCCATGGTGTTGCTTCCTCCAGGAACTTTTGGCTCTAGTGAGCATTTGCTTTCTTCTTTCTGGTGAAGATGGAAATGCAGTAGAGCTCCTGGAGGAAATCCAGGTTTGTAGTTGAAATTGGTTATTTGGGTTCATTTTTTTATTAGTTATGATGCCATTTTATTAAATGAATGAAAGAATGGGTTATATATATAAGTAAAATGGTAGGATAAAAATGGTAGTATCAGAAATGAAGTCATTTAAAGGAACCTAGGAGTATTTTAATATCTCTAAATACCAAAGCATTCAAGGCAATCTAGGTCTGACCTAAATCTAATGAATATAGTTATGCTTGAAAAAGAAGAGTCTAATAGCATACACCATTTATCAATACAGGCCTAATTATAATTAATAGTAAACAGTCAGGAGATTTCTATTTATTTTTCAGTCCAAAACCATCTAACACCATCAAAATAAACAAGCAAAGCAATCAAACTTTCATTTGCCGTTTACAGTAATAACTAAGAAAATTATCATCTAAGCCTTGCCCCAACTATATGGGGTTTAGCTACATGAATCTTATTTTTCCACTCTGTTTTGTTAAGTGCCATATCTGTTCTGTCTGCAGTTCTGCTAACAGCATCTTAAGTTGTTGTTTTGAAACCCAGAAAACCCGATCTTTGTGTATATGAATCTACAAGACAATGATATGCTGATCACTTGATTGTAAATGTCCCTGAAAGTTTGAAACCTAGGTTTAAAATACCAAAATATCAGGCCCTACAATGCAGATTCCAGACTTCTTTTTTTATCATTATGATAGTGGTAGTTACAATTTCTACCATTCTAGTGAAATTTATCACTAAGGTATAAATATTATTAATGGCCAAACCCAAAAGTAACTGAAAACATTCACTAAAAATGAAATATAACTGTAACCAACACATTATTTTCCTGCTTCTCTTTTAATGATTTACTTTCCTGGTTTCCATGTAACAATATGGCATAATGATACCAGACATTTACAGTTCTAAATCTGGTTTCCCCTTTCTCGCTTAGTCAAACCTGGTTCCATCAAATCTGGATGACTGGTCCTCACACACACCACAGCACTTGCAGCCATGCATTGGGAACATCTCCCCATGAATGAAAAATACAAATACAGGAGATGTTCTTGATGTGCAGCTACAAGTGCTGTGAGGTGGGTGTGATGACCAATTCTGTGAGGAGGAAATGTGATTTCGGTTCCATCATCACAACAGGTCTAAAATTGATGCTGGGACACCTCCCAATACCCCAAAGCATCTGTGGAATCTTGCCCATAGGGACAAAACTGACTGAAATAATAGGTGGTTTGCAATCTCCCCCTAGTACTGACAGATACCACACATCAGAGTCTAGTATCATCCTTCTCCAAATCAAATTACTTCTTGTCAAACATTTACCTAGCACAGCTGTGCAAACCACACAAGCCACCTTGGAAGTGATATAAGGAAGCCACACCTTGCAGCTGGGAAAGGCATAGAGAGTCTGCCCCTGTAGGTGCTCGTAGAAAGACTTCACTAAGAATCTTCCCAAGTGGTCAAATTTCCAGATTCTTCAGTCCTCTTGGTTTGCATTAACTTCAGTTCTTGGAATCATGGAAACCAACTCCACCATTTGGTCAACCTCCCAATCATTCTAAATGTAGGGTTCCAAATCCAATCCACTTGGTNGTTCTTGGAATCATGGAAACCAACTCCACCATTTGGTCAACCTCCCAATCATTCTAAATGTAGGGTTCCAAATCCAATCCACTTGGTTGTTTATAAGGTGGTAGCAATCAGCCACTAAAGCATTTCTGTCCCTGGCAATCAGGTAAAGGGATGTGAACAAATCCATAAGTGGCCTATCCAAAAACTGTGTCTCCATCCAAAACCTCACCCGAAGTCCATTCCCAACATTGTATTTTGTACCTGAACTGAAACTGATATAGCTTTTTTCCACCCCTTTCCATAGGGAGCATTGATAGCATTCTCTAGAGCTTCCCAGGTACATGTTTCTTGTGCCATACCTTGCTGCAATGGTTTTTCTCCACAAGCTCTTTCTCTATTCATTGAATTGCCAAAACCACTTTCCAAGCAGATTCACCAACCTTAATTTCCTAATACCCAAGCCTCACCCAGCTTTTGGAAAGAAAAATCTTATCCACTGCACCAGCACCAAATGAATTTTCCCCTTGTCAGTCCAACCTCTACAAAGAAAGTTTCTCATCCTCTTTTCCAGTTTGTCAGCCACTGGAGCTCGAATTGAAAAGAGGGAAAGGAAATAAGTCCCTTAAAGGCTTAAACCTAAATCTCTCAACCAACATGCAGTAATCTAATAAGTACATTTCATAATTTCCTACTGTCTATTATTTGATTTCAAGGGTTCTCAGAGTATCATTTCTACACTATGGCAATATAAAAGTAGTCTGAGGTTCGTGTGAGGACAAAAAAAATCTGTTTTACAAGTACACTATTTAACATAAATTGCTGTTTACTCACAATTTCCATCAATCTAAGTCACAGAAAACCCAACTACAATAAGTTCTCTAATTAGGACATAACTGGATCATGCTAAATTTGGGGAAAAAAAGATCCATGGAACTGAGGTCTAGGGTCAAGGGTCCCTAGACCTCTCCTTTCAATGGTGCCCATATGCCATTATAATTGCAAACGTTCTCATCTTTCCAGGTTACCAGAAAAATATGAAAGGGATAGTAAATTGCAGAAAGATACCAGTATCAGTGATTTTCACTAGTATGGGATTAAATGAAGATGCCAATGCATTATGAACATAATATATATGTTTTATGGCATACAAATTATTGGACACACTAACAGGTGACGATAAAATATACAGATTATAAACAAAGACAAATACCTGCATCCCACATTCTATAGAAATGGTACGAGAAGTGGATTCACCAACTAACATTTTTGAAATCCAATAACCAAGAGCAAATGCAGTATCATGTAGAATAGCCACAGGAACTATTAGAGCAATAATGATCTATTTTTTAATCATTAATGTAATTATACTATGAAGTGAGCATCTTTTGATTACCTCCAATGACAGTTGGCACCAAAACAGCTTGGAAAGTGCTGAGGGCAAGGCCTGCAAAGATGAAACAACTGTTTTTAGGCTTAAACTAGTAGACAAAAGGCAATTATCAATGATCATACCAAACTTGCTTGTAAGAGATAAAGGAAAATTTATATTCCGTTAGGAAGAATGTAAGCACACTCCACATACTGTTTGATGGGGCCCAACTAGGAAATTCTTTACAGTAAAAACTGAATTGGAAGATTTAACAGTTTCTCTTTCTTCCTTTTCTTTCTAGTATAGGCTTGAGCTGACAGAACGGACCATCCATTTACAAAGGATAAGCTTAGTGGACAAAGCCCACAAGAAACAAAACCCAGCTAGCTAGAATTTTAAGCTTGTTCAAAAAAATCCCTACTCAAGGCGGTGCAAATCTGTCACTTGAATCTTAATATTCTTTGCCAGGTGACTCCAAACATGCCCACTAGCTAGAATTTCACTTTTCTCATGTCTGTCGATTTTTTCTCCACCATTACAGTCAGAACACATGCTTGTTATATCAATGAGTCCAGACACATAGAAATACCCTCGTTATCGTACTCTTGTCAACGGGTGTCTGAATCTGCAACCGTTTTATTTGAATAAACAGAAATTGATAATTTGTGATTGCCAGTGACTAACGTTGGACTCCAGCTTCACTGTTGAGTTTATATTTTAGAACGCACAGAACAGCATAATCATCCAGTTCCGATTTGCTGGAACCAGTCTAACACAAGCCTATACTTCCAGTGGAGAACTAGCCCATTGAAACCCCAAATACAAGTCAGATCCATATTCATAAGCCCCTTCTATCCAAAAAACTTACTAGAGTATTTGCTAATCTTTGAATCAGAGAAACTACATCGTGATTCATAAGCTCCTTCCATCCAAAAAACCTACTAGAGTATTTTCTGATCTTTGAACCTAAGCCTGGAGTTCGCTTTAACACTGCCGAATGCAGAGTTGTAATCTGGTCAAAGTGAGCATAAAAAAATGAATAGGACAGAGAGAGAGAGAGGAATACGAACAGAGGAGGGATAGAGAAGAAGAAGAAGAGGGATAGAGAAACTCACCGTTGCTTGAAGAGAGATACACCAGTTGAAGCCCGAGGATTTTCAACTCACCGTCGCTTCACTCCTTGAACACCGACAACCTGAGAAGCACGAACAGAGGGAAAGAGTGAAGCAGAGACGGAAGGAGTGAAGCAGAGAGAGAGAGAGAGGGGGATAGAAAAAGACGCACAAGAAGGAAGGTATGCGCGGGCGATGCTTATTTTCTTTTGTTAGATGATGAAAATTTGTGGAAAAACCCGCGCAAACATGCAGCCACGGTTTCAACAAAAGTAAATATGTATTGCAACGGTTAACCTTATAACCGTCTCAAAAGTAAAGCATGTATTGTAACCGTCCATGAAAGCGTGGCCAAGCTAAATACGAGAATTGAACATATGGACACAACAAAATATTCGGTTGCTATATGTGATTTTTAGCAACCGTTTTTTTTTGTCCGTTGCTGGAAAAATCATTGCTAAACATCATTTTTCTTGTAGTATGAATCTAAAATGATAGGGAATAGGAAATTTGCAACTTGTACAGGTGCAACTTCCACTTTTAAAACAATTAGTCCTGGTAATACAAAAGAAAATGCTTGGTCTCTAATAAGTAGGAGTTCGAAATCTAATGCCACTTCATCAATAAGTTCATTTATTAAACTTAATTTTTATGTATAAGCAAAATTTTCTAGCTTAGGTGATTCATTCAACTCAGGTAAAAATGAATAATTTTGATATTTTAGCCTGATGGAGTGGATATAGACAAAATTATCCAATCCTTGTCGCTATGGCATGTGATCTACTAACCCCTTCGATGTATATAATTCCATCAAAGCGTTGTTTTAATACAAGTACTAGGGTGCTGGACGACAAGAGAAGTTACATGAATGGTGAAAGTTTTGAGATGTGCATATGCTTTAAAGATTGGTTGGATGTTGAAGATAGATTACAAGACAGATGGGGGTGTTATGTTTGTGCCTATAATTCTTTATGGTGACCTGCTTCATATCCACTTTGAATTAATTTGAGAAAAACCCAAAGGCAAAATTTAATAGTGGTTTGTAGTGGAAACGTAAGGCTTGGGCCTCTGGGCCTAAGCCGTAGCCCGTCACAAATCACCATTGGGGGTTGCGCCCTGCAACGGTATGGACCCGATCCATATTCATCTTAAAGTCTTAGTCTTGTGGGATAAGAGTTAGACATTGGGTGTATTAGGGGCTTAGGGTTTTCTGTGAGTGCAACTTTATATTTCTTCTCCATTGCCAACTACATAGTGGATTTATGTTATTTCTTTGCCTGTGAACATATGTAAATCCGTGTGTGTTCTCTGCCCTTGTTTCTCTTTATCTCTACTTTTCCTTTCAATTTGGGTGTTATTCGAATCTATTTTCTTAGGTTTTTTCGCAATAGAGGGCATGACACTACACTTGATGTTTCACTTGAGGCAGATTATCAAAGTCAAGGAGATGGAGGTGGTACAAGTTGAATTTAGAGAAAAATGATGAAGTCAATTTTTTTTGTATACTCAATAATTGTGTAGCATTTTTTTTTAATTTTGTTTTTCAATTTTATTTAAATTATTTATTATTTTTTCAACAATGTAATTTTTTCTTTTCAATTTATAAATATATTGTATTATATTTTTATATTTTATTCCATATTTCATTCTTCCACTGACCATTGTATTGTTTCAATTCAAATGAAATAGTATTCTTATTTCTTATAATTTGTTGTCCACTTTGTATTTTGTTAAGTATTTTTTTATTTCTTTGTTAGATTTTTTTTTCCAATTTGTTTCCAAAGACTCAAAGGAAAGTTAAGTATTTTAGTTTTTACTTAACAAAAAAGTCAAAATGTCAACAAAAAAAAAGTTTGGCTCGGTTCAGCCAAACCTCAAGGCCCAACTTGTAGCCTAGCCCAACACAGTTTGCAATTCACCTGACCCAAGCTTGTGGCACACCCCGATGAAATATCCTAAGGGGGGAGAAGCACGACCTAACATGGGCCATTCCATGTTGGTCCAACACAACTTGATTTACACCTTTAAATGCATTCTTAGTTCTTAGGGGTTTTTACTGTTCAGTCCACCCCCATAAATCTTAGCTCCATCGTACAACTGGGGTAGGTGACAAATCGGAATTGATGCCCTAATATTTATACATTAATGTTTTTTATTTTGGGAGAATGACGATTTAGCCAGGGTTAAAATTTTTATGCCCAAAGTACATTTATGGTAGGTGTCAGAATTGTTGTCAATTCACGGGTGGACATTGATGTATAAAATGGGGGTATATGACATTTTAAATGTTTATAGATCTATAATGAAACTCAGACAATGGGCCTATCCGTAGTTTTCCGTTTTGTTTTTGATTGAAATATATCCACGATTTTAAAGAAATTATAAATAGAAGTATATAAGTGGTCTACTCCAATTTTAATGTAATACATTGATAAAGATGACACCTGATGACAAGATTAAGCATTTATTAAGGGTGATTATTGGCACGACCGGCCGAGCTTAGCACATGTGATAAGGGTTATAGAGTGGGTATAGACCTTGGCTGGGATTTTTGGGTTGTGAATTTAAATACAATAATAAAATGCACAAAAGTAAAAATTGATGATACCGAAAATGCATGATGCAAGAAAGGATTTGGCCAATCAAACCTTCCGGTGGTTTTGATTAAAACCATCTGATTACCACTTTTATGATAATATATTTATATTTTTATGATGTTTAAACTTTATATAATTAAAATAATACACACGTGGGTGTGATATATGCATATAAATGAGATCCAATTCAATCCAACTCCTTTTTAATTTCTTTTTTGGTAAAAAGTGATTTCATTACAAAGAATCCTATCCAAATCCAACCCACCAAAATCCAATTTGATTAGATACAAAGAACAAAAAAATCAGACACCAATTATAACTTGATCCAATCTATTGCCTTTATTTAAAAACTAAAAGTAAAAGAATAAAAGAATGCAAAAAAGGTAGGAGCTTGAAGTGAACCCTGTACCTTTCTTCCCCATTATTTTCTGTATGCTTGCATTCTCATGAATCCCTTGAAGCAGTACTCCACTTGTAGATTTGGTGTCACCTTTCTCAAATCTGAAGTTGTAACAATCAAGTACCAAAACCATTCCCTACATTGTTAGAGTTGTCAGAAAACAACCCACCGATTGCCTCACCACCAAGAAATACAAATAAATAAATGAAAGAAACAAAGTTGAATAAGAAGAAAGGTACCATTCTTACCATTCTTTCTCTAAAATTTAATCTCTGTTGATTGATTTTTCAAAAATTTTAATCTCATCTTCCCATTGTATCAGTTTATTGTTCATCAGAAATCGAATAAGCATATAAAACTGGATTTTGAACTTAAGGCTGTGTTTGGTTGCAGTGTAATTTCATTTGCATTAGTACAATGTGCAAATGAAAAGAATACAAATTCTGTTTCAAATCTTATTTTACTTTATTTGTATTAAAATGATAAATTTTGAAATAAAAATAATCATAATTTGCACTACCATGGTTTCACATCAGTACAAATATATTCGCATTGCAACCAAAAACAGCCTAATAGTCAGATGGTCAAATGACACCTATACAGGTTAGCTGTGGTATGGCTAAATGGACCTCATGTTCATTCTTCTCTGCCCCACCCCCAATTTCTCTGTACCAAAAACGAGCCGATCCAATCCATTGGATAATGACCTAAGTGATTGAACCAATTGACCTGATCGAGTAAATTTGCCTCAACCCGATTTAAAATAGTGGCATTACAAACCCGACCCGGAACATCTCATATAAACGGGTTGGATTGAATTGTTATGGCGTTTCCATTTCGCATAATCGGGTCGGAGTACGTTGGGTCAGACCAGGCTGAACCAAACCCGACCCGGTGACATTTTCTGGTGAATTGTGAGCAAATTCCTTTCTCAATTCTCACCAACAAAACACACTTTACAAAACGTACTCGGTACAGTTTGTCCCATTATACGAAACTTCGTAAAGCAATAAAATAGGCGATTCCTTTTAAACCACCAGGTGACAAACATACAAGCACTATTTCCACGGTTGGATCACCATCTTCATCTACGGACAGAGCAGCCCATATTTCTCACTTTTGTTAAAATGTTGTGGGCCCATGTTTAAATCCGTCCAACCGAAGCGAGAAATTTTAGCGAACAGCGAACATATGCAATTCTTTGATACCTCACCTCCGGATACGATGGGACTCGTGAAAGATACACTAGAGAACAAGATTTAGAGGGAATCCCCCCTTGTCGGTGGGGTTGTCTATCAAGAGTTGCATAATGTCGTTGCTTAGTAGCACTTCTTATCTATTGGTTTATTAGTTTATGAGAAATGTTGACTCATCGACGACATGGATTTCTGTAGACAGATTGGTGGAAGAATCGCATTCGGATTTCGGGCATTCGTTCGGTTCCCTACCGACAAAGACATGGAACGGAAAAAGGAGAAGAGCTTCATTCACAAGTCGCAACCGTGGACAACGTTGACCTCGCCAAGCGCCAAGAGGACGGAGACCACTATCTCAGCCGTCCAATCGTAATCCCCTTGTATCTGTGTGTCACGAGATTGAGGTTTTCTCTCTCTCTCAGAGTCTGTACATCTCTCAAAATTAGATTTACCTTACCGTCCTTTCGATTCTATCAGTCAGTCCTGCGCTGCATATGCAACTCTCTATGGCTATGTGGTGATGATGTAAGATCTGGATGCTCTAGTTGGAGGGTAGTTCGGATGTATATTTGCTTTGTTGGTCCGTTGAATCGCAAAAGAATGACGTTTAGAGGATTCAAAGTGGTTTATCCGGTGTGAGTATTTCGATGTTTAAGTTAGTAATCTAGTATGCGAGTTGAAAATTTATATGCCAGAAGGCTGGTGAGCTGTCGTAGGTTTTACGAAACATTTCTGAAATCCTCGGCCCGTGCTATTAAGAATCCATTTCGTACTCGAAGGTGGACTTCGTATGAACTGATAAGGCTTATCAAATCCGTTTGATCCGGGTGGGATAAGGATAAGGTTCATAGATGTGTGACATGATCTCAGAAAAGATTAAAAACAGCTAAATATCTAACTTTTAAAAATTGATTGTGTCACCTTGGTAGGTTAGGCCATCACAAATTATTCGAACCTCAGTCTTGACCAAAATACCCAAAGGTACCTGAGCTGCCCTCACCTGCTGAAGTGGAGTAGAATACTGAATTGTCATCTAATCAATAGATCACTTCCATGTGTTCGGGTGTTGATAAATCGGATCAAGTTATCACTCATCAGTGGGGTTATCAAAATCTTGAGGGTTTTTTTTTGCCTTCTTGTCTGTAGTACATTGCATGTAAAGCTGACTTTTATTCTAACATATGAGAAATGTTGCCAACTCTAGCTGGGGGCGCAGAATCCAAGATTTGCATAATTGGTTTGTTATTGATTATTTTTTTTGTTAAAAATAAACAAATGCAACTAAACAAGTTCTTGCAACTCCTTGAATTCTTTGCAAATGTGGGGCCCATTAAATGATTTTTTCCCTAATTTAGACATAAAACCGCCTTTTCTAGGGTCGAACAATTCTGTGTGGCGATGCATTGCAAGAGTTGAACTGAGCGTAGTTCTCAGCAACCCTGTGTTCGGTTGTGCTCACTTCTCACTTATTAATTACCTTTAACTTCTATCGGAAGGAAACACACACACGAAGGGTGGTAGTGGGTCCCACTCTACCTTCGTCCCACGTCCAGGCTGTGCGTTGGTACGTCTGCTGAACGCGGCGTTGTCTTGTCCGGGTATGTCAATATGTCATATAAAGGGAGGATATGCGTAATACGCACTGTGCGTATTTAAACCAAAATCCAGATTAAATTAATTAAAACAATATAAAATAAAGTAAACGAATTGCCCAGTTCGGTTGCTTCCATAGTTTCATCTCCTCTGTCTTTCGATCTACAAATCTCGAAAAGTTTTCGTTCTTGTCTGCAACTCTTCTTTCTTTACTTCTCCCTCTCTCTTTCTCTTCTCTGCAGCGCCGTCCGATCTCCGAAAAGCGCATTCAAGGTTACTTTCGATCTCCACCGTCGCTTTTCCTCCAAGATCTACTCCTAGCGTTGCTTCTTTCTCTATTGCTGCCTCGGAGCCTGGTAGACGACAATGGCGGGGAGGAGGGATGTTAACTGATGAATTTGTGTGGCCATGGATCTAGTGAAATGGACGGTGAAGAGTTTGTGACTGAGGGGGTGCAAGGGTTTCAGTCATGGCGGCGGAAGGGTCTCGTAGCTGGATGGAGTCTTACAAGGGTATGTCCTCAGACAACATCAAGGGTTTGGTTCTGGCACTGTCGTCGAGTTTCTTTATAGGTGCGAGCTTCATTGTGAAGAAGAAGGGCTTGAAGAAAGCGGGGGCTACCGGAATTAGGGCAGGTAAAAAAAGTTTATCCTAAAAGAAGTCATGTTTTTAGTTTTTCCAATTTTATTGTATTTGGTTGGACTTGTTGGTCGTGTAATTACTGCAATTTGGGAATCGGATTGATGTAGGTTTTCTTTATTTTAATGGTTCCTGTCTAATCGTTGAAAGGTTTGATTTTGTGGTGAATTTGATGAACTATAATGCATTCTTTTGACGGTGTCTGTGGCATGTAATCTGTCCAGCAAATGCGTTTGCATCCTTGTTTTCTACGCTACTGATTAAAAAATAGAAGATTTGGCTTTTTAGGAGACTACACTTCTACATTTTATGTTTTGGCTGTACAGATCAAGTCAATATTTAACAATTCGCTATGTTATTAATGTGAAAGATGGCGTTTGTTTCCTTGAGTTGTCAGATTTATCAAATTTTGCGTGTGGGGGCGTGTAATAGTCCTGGATCATGGGGGGTTGCGAAGTGCAAAAGAGTGTCCAATTATGGCATTATGTTGCCCATGATAAGATGCGGTGAGAATAGTGGTGCATTATGTTTGCTTCTATATGCAGGGATTGTCTGTGAAGTCAAATATGATTGTGCTAACGGTGGAGGCACTAAGGTGTTCTTCTACCTTGTATTTCTAATTTCTCATATTTAGTCCACACAGCTACTTAGCTAACAAGTTGGTTGAGATCTGACTGAATGTCATTCAACGTTCTGGTTAGAGAGACCATTTTATGATACCATTACCATACAGGCTGGTCAAGCTTGAGTTAGCCCAAGAAAAAAAAGGAAAATCATAAAGTTGTGGTGATACAGCCCAATGATCAAGCATCAGAAGGTTTAGTGCATGAAGTAATAGTATGAGTATAGGGAAAGGGGTGGAATCACAGTAGTGTATATAGTATGGTATCACAATGACAGTGAGTTGTTAGGTGCACTATTGAGTTGGTTATATACATTTAAGCCATTCATTTTCTTAAGTTGGAGTTATATTAACAAGTGAGCTGACCATAGTTGGGATTAAGGTTTAGTTGAGTTTAGTTGATTATTAATTAAGGTACTTAGGTTGTTTCTTAACCAACAAATGCATGAACCTAGGGAGTCTATACGATTAATAACTGTAGGAGAATATTTAGTCTAGGTCTATATATACCTAAGGTATCCAATCTGTATAACACAGTGTTATCGAAGTGTCAACTAGTCAGATGAGGGCCAAACCTACTGCATCACTAACTAGTCGGTTCTTGGTTGTTACTCATGATGTGATTGCCTAGGACAACTAGTTGATTAACAGCTAGTCAACCACAAAGTCATTTTAATGTTTGTTTGTATATCTAATTATTAGAAATAATATAGAATATATCTGTATTTTGTTATATTCATTCTGTTGCTTAAAATATTTGTGATTGAACAGTGTTGGATAATGGCATATAAAATAGAAAAAGGCATAAAATAAAAGGAGGCAGTGGAGGAGCTCTTTTAAGTTTTCTTCCAATCAGTGATATGTTCGTACAGAGTTTTCATGAACAAAGGGCATATCAAATATTCAAGGCTGCACTCTTTCTCTGGAAAACAAAGTCTGTGATCCTAATTTTTTTTTTTGTTTGCAGAACAAAGACTGTAAACTTAATCATAGTTTTCAAGGTGCAAAGGCAAAGATGGGCGACAGAGGGGCACCTAGGCATTGAGTTCTTAAAATAAAAAATATAAATCCCAGGGTAATTTCCTAGGTTTCATAGTAATAAGCACTAATCTTTTAAGTTTTAACTAATAATTACCACAATCCTCATAAAAGAAGTATAAACCCCATATCAAAACAAAGAAAAACAAAGTATCAACATATTTATGAGAAGAAAAACAAGAAGGTAATGAAGATAATGAAGTTCCATTGGTTGTTTTTGTGTTCCAATTGGATACGATCTTCAAGTTATTTCTTACTTTTTAGTTCAGGTTTTAAAGCCTTAAAGGGCTCAAACTATGTTACTGACTTCTGTGTCAATTGAACCCAAACAAATAAGAAAATAATAAAAAGAAACTAGTATAAGAATAATAATATTAATACTATAAACCCATTAACCCACAATATGAATAGTTTAGTCTAATAATATCTATTGCACTATTAGTAATAATATAAAAATATAAAAATATTATGTGGTGTCTTTTTTTTTTTAGAAAAGTTAAGATAAAATTTATTAGATAGAAATTGTAGTTCAAAGGGACCCCCTAAAGAAAACACCTTAGCAGGGGAGCAACCCAATCAAAACAAGGTTACAAATGCCATAAGCTCCTAGAATTCAGCCTAGCCCCGAACTGAGAAGCCTGGAGCCCCTTCGATGCTGACACCCAAGAAATCATCTTTCCAAATGAAATGGATATAAGATCCTCCGGGTCCTTGTAGATGTTATGGAAAAGCCTTTTGTTCCTTTCTGCCCAAATGGTACTGATTACTGCAGCCAGAATGGACATCGACACAGCAGAAGCAAGCTTTGACAACACCTGTAACACCTAGCTCCACAACATCTCCTTCACTGAGGCTGGCATAGCCCAAGTAAGACCCAATGAAGAGAGATAATGTTTCCAAATCCTAGCAGTAATAGGGCAGTGCAGAAACAGATGGCTGTTATCTGCCATTGCTTGACCACACAACACACAGCTCTGATCCTGGAGTTGAATCCCTCTCTTAGATAGATGGGCTTTGGTTAAACACCTATCTAAAGCTGCAGCCTACACCAGGGCATTGATTTTTGAGGGAGAGGTTGGGTTCCAGATTCTGGAAGCATGCATGTCTTCTGAGTTACTTGCCGACAGATGAGTGGCAAAGGACTTGACTGAGAAAAGGCCATCTGTTCTCCAAGTCCAGATCCAACTATCTTCTTTGAGCAGATCCAGGGGCTGGAGAGAGATCAGCTCAAGTAGTTCAACTAGATTTGCGATTTTCCAATCCTGAAAATTCCTTCTATATGAAGGACACCATATTATGTGGTGTCTTATAAATACATATGTAATTTGGGCAAGGTGGCCCTCCAAGAGTCCCTTATTGCCTAGGCATTGCCTTGACAACTATGAAATACCAGCCTTTTTCTTCCGTATGTAGTCTATATTGACTTATGAGATTGCATCAATGCGTTAAATTTAGAAAATATCCTTTTTTATCAGCTAGTTACTTAGTCAATACCTCACATCGAGTAGAGAAGCCAAAATGACTAGTCATTGCTTCATTGCATTGATAACCCTGGTAGAAAGGTGCTGTATCTTGTTGGATACTTCAGTTTTTAATTTAAATTCCATATCAGCACCTTGTTCAACTGTGTCCTTACTGTATTTGGGTAACATAGCTATACCTCAAATTATAGGTGAGAGGATAAAAGTGAAAAGTTGTTTTCTGGTGAGTTTTCTCTAATTTGAGAGTTGAATAATTTATCTCTTGGGGCTCAAGTGATTCCCAGTATTTTAAAAGCAAGGTGCAACTAAAACCCTGTTCGTTTCCTCTTAACTCTTATCTCTTAAGAGGAATCTTTTAACTTTAAGAGAAAAATAGGTGTTCGTTTCCTCTTATCTCATATTTCTTAAAGTGCAATCATACAACTTTTTGTTTTCCAATGATACCCCCAAAAAGACAAACAAAAGCTCTCATATATGGGGTCAAAATGGATATTTGATAATTTTCAGAATTCAGAACAACATTCTTTGCATTTAGAGTTAGAGGAAAGAAAACTTCACCAATACCAATATACCTCTTAATGTAATTATTGTACTTTCAGATGTTAGACTTCAGAGCAAACAAACAGGCCCTAAAATTTAAGTCTATATTTTTAACTAATAATGTTTTTAATATTTTTCATGTTTTTTGATTTTTTAACATCTTCTTGCATTTTTGCGTCTTGCTTCAAAAAGGTGCCCACTTCACCTTGTGCCTCACACCTCGGGCACAAAATGGCCCTTGTGCTTTTTTTTGCGCCTTGCTCTTTTAAAACACTATATATGATAATCTTAAGAGTAGTGTGTTTGACAGTTAACATTTTAAACATGTCTATGCCATGAAATTCTCTTTTGACAATATGCATCTCTATCATTTTGTGTTATAGGGCAAACTTTGGGATAACTTCATGAGGTACATGATCTCGTTCAAAATTAATTCTTGCTTATTTTTTTACAGGAGTTGGAGGCTATTCTTACTTATATGAGCCACTGTGGTGGGCAGGCATGATAACAAGTAAGTTCACCTTATTCTTTATGTTAGATAAATTGCAAATTACAATGGGCCTTTGATAACTTTTAATTATGGTAGAAGGAATTTTTTTAATTATTAGTTATTAGAGATTATGAAGGGGCAATAATTTGGTGCATTGTTAAAATCTCAGGCTCACACACCCAAGATATAAATAGTTTTGTATTGTTAAGTCCTTTAGTTTGCTGGACTAGGAGCAGGTTATTAAGATACTCCCAATCATAGCTTAAGAAAATAATAATAAATAAGAAAAATGGCTTTCTTATAAGCCCAGTCAGTCCTATTGGTGGGCTGAAACTTTTTAGTAAAGAAAAGGGCCTACAGTCCTGTTTAGTGAACAACAGGCCCCAAGTTAATTGGGCTTGTCTGTAATGCAATAAGCATTTAATGGGCCTGCAATAGAGCCCATTTAATGGGACAACATGCCCTAAAAGAATTAAATTTATATTAATTATTTTTCTTGTGAGGTGTCCCACTTATTTATAAGGGAATGCCACTTGTCCTATTCTAACAAGAGGGCTATTTTCCCTCCTTTAACCACTTGAGGGGGGGGGGGGGGTGTGGCATATGTCACCCTAGGAGAGAGATGTGAAAAAAACCCAGTTATTGGTCTAGTTGGGTGAATTATATTATGTGAGAAATTATACTAAAAAATTTACCACTAACATGTATATAATTCTTGTATTGTACATTTTGATATTTCTTTTGAGAAAATAAGTGATGATTTTTAAACTAATGCTCATTCCATCTGTGCTGTTCTGTCATATTGCCTAGTTGTGTTTATAAAACTGCGATGTGATTGAGGTTTGAGAAGCAACTAAATAGGTTTCCTAAAGAAACAAACACAAAGATAAGGAAAGGTATATAAAAGTAAAAATAAGAAATGGAACAAGGGAGAATGTAATTGAAGGAGACTCCAAGATTGTTATGGGTTGGTTAACAGATCTGAACTCAGTCATTTGGTGCTACATTAACCTCTCAAAGAAGGCCAGCTGGTTATTAAGAAATATGAATGTTAGTGTTGGGTTGGTAGTCTGCAAATTCTGTGGCAGATTATCTTGCTAAACAAGGGTTTTTAAAGGAACATTTGTACTTGGCTACCTTGTAATCCTTATCTATAGTGCTATGTGGTTTTCATGGGAGGTCGCACCTCGTGCCTCTCAATGGATGCTTGTAACAGTTTTCATATTTTCTTAATAAATTCCTCTTCAATTATCAAAAAAAAAAAATGGAACAAGGGAGAATGGTGAGAAAAGGGAAATAAGTTTGAAATCATTCCATCTATAGGTATTAGGTGAAGGGTGTTTGGTATTCTTCAAATTAGGGAAAGGTTGTATAAGGTCCATAATGTTTATAAAGGAGAACGATGAGAAATGGCTTCAAATACAACTCTTGTAAGAGTCATGTTGCTATGTCAGAGTTGGATTTGGGGCCTAGTCTCCTGGTTCTCTCTCTTAATTTTGTCTTATTGTGCCCAGTTTTGTTCTCATTTTTTTGATCAATAACTGCATGATTTCATTTATATTTTTTTGATAGGAAACGGTAACTTTCATTGTTAATAATAGTTAAAGGTTGCAACTGTCACCATCCAAAAGGCCACATGGAAAACCCTTAGACAAAGTCAGTCTTACAAACAAGCCCAGAACAACTCCTGCCTATGGTTTCATTGTTTCAATGGATAGATCATGAATTTGTTAATATTTAAAAAAAAAGGTAGAATAGTACAAAGAGATACAACAGAGAAGTAATGAGAGATAAAACCTCCTACCTTTCCCCAACACAAAGCCTCTCTCTTAAGTTGTGCCCAGAAAATAGTCTCTTGCCCCACCCCTTGTTTGGCTAGCAAAAGATTTAGCACTTCCTTACACCAACTCAAAATTACTTCCATGCCTCTTGTTAGTCAACTGAATTTCTTCTTTCATTATTGTATATCAACATCTTCATTTCCTCACTTTGTAGCCAATTTATAACCAACTGTTAGTCCCCTTCCACATTTAATTTCCTAATGTTCAATGTTCGCCCTTTGTATGCCTTCCATCAATGCCAAAACTTCTGCTCTAAGAGAGTCCCCCCCTCTGCCTGTCCTGAGTTTAAGAGCAATTATTTTTCTCTCTTCATCCCCCAGAACACCTCCAATTCCTGATAGTCCAGGGTTTCCAATGCTACTACAGTTAAGTTTGATGAACCCTCTTTTTGGTGGAGACGAAATGTGATTAATGATAATCTTGTTTGGAGCAGAAGCTGCCACTCCCGTCCAGTTTTTAAGAATATCATCAGTTGAAATACTTCTACCAGCCGTGGAAAATACTTCTACCAGCTGGGGTACCATTTCTGGTTTCACCCTTACCAACTTTACATTTGCAGCATGGAGGTTGGAGACATCCAATAGTTCCATTTCTCCTCCACAGAATTTTGTGGTCTTAGAGAAAACTTCTTCCAACAAGGCATGGAAGGGTAAATCCAGGATTCTCAGGTTAGTACTTACTGTTGGTTCCAGCCTTCCAGGACCTTTTCATTGCTTGAATAGGTCCATCTATGTAACGTGGCCATACCTTGCTTAGTATTCATTGAAATATCAGCAAACTCTGGCAGATTTTGTGGAAGTACAAGCAGAGCCTTGTTGCCTTCAAAAGGTAAAATCTCCATTTTACCTGTAACCGTTAGCACCCCTTTTAACTCTTTTGCCACACTCCTTTAGAGCCATTGGTCCATATTTTTGGCTTCTCTATCCTTGTAACACAATGAGTGTCCCCTCCAGGCTCCAGCACAGTCATTTTCTTTAACCTTCTCGGATTAATAAGTGACCTTTGTGCCAGTTCCTTTTCTTCTCTTTTCTCAACTGCAGTTTTTTGTGTTACAACGTTAATCTTGGAGTATTCCTGTATGGCCTTTGCTACAAGTATCCACCCTGAGGCTTCTCTTTCTTCCAGAAAACAAGTAAATTGTTTCAAGCCTTCCCCATAATACTTGTACACCCCAATAAATTTATAAATCAACCTTTTATATTTTCTTTTCGCTCTGCAAAATATTTCCTGCCCTCTTCGATATGGCAGTGCTTCCGGTCCTGTCCTGGTTCTGCTCTTTTCGCTCCTTCCAGTATATTCTGAAACCATGCAATAGCTCTTCCTGCTAGTATCAGTGAGGCTTTTCTTCTGCTGATGCAGAACTTACTTCGTCCATTGGTGGAAATGAAGATTTGTTTTTGCAAATTCTAAGACATTTTAGAGTATATTGCCCTTACCAATGCCAAAGATCATCTATTTCTTGGCTAGGACCTCTTTGAAGATTGTCACAGGCTAGTGGAATCTCTAGGAGCCTCTTGGGCTCTATGCATGAATAACCTGTTTTCTCAGGGAAGGTCCAAAATGCATCCCTGCTTCTGTTTACTTCTTTTTGGTTTGCATCACTTCTAAAGAAGTATTCTTCTCCCAAGTTGTGTTCTCATTTTTTTTTACCATGAGTTGAGAAACTTTTTTTAGTATTCTATCTTCTCCACTATTAATGTTTACATTTGCTGATAAAAAAGGTTCAGTTTTAATTTATAAGGAAATAACTTTGAATAGGTACATCTGATGTGTTCATTAGGTGATTAACTTGATCATGGGCATTCCCTGGTTGGCGTTTTGCAATTGACCTTGGTGTACCATCTTCCTTGGGCACTTCCTAGGCAATGGAAGATTGAAATGGCCTATACTGTGTTGACTATCATTGTTTACTTAATATATCTGGTCAACTATTTTAATATGAGGAACATTATGGCTTATACATGAATGTGGTCATTGTCTGAACTGTTCCAATCATCAAGGGCTTGTTTTTGAGGGGACCATTTCAGTCAACCATATGAATTACATTTAGCGTAAAAGAATTTGAGGTAGAAATGATGCGAATTCTAACGAGGTGCTTGTTATTGCAACAGTGATTGTTGGGGAAATTGCTAATTTTGCAGCTTATGCATTTGCTCCAGCTATTTTGGTCACCCCTCTTGGTGCACTCAGCATTATTATCAGGCATGTCTTCAAGTCATTTTCCCCCTCCTGTTTCTCTTTTATAGGTTCTGAATATCCATATTGCTTTTCAGTGCTGCACTTGCACATATTATTTTACGGGAGAGGCTACATGTTTTTGGTATCCTTGGTTGTGTTTTATGTGTTGTGGGATCAACAACAATTGTCCTACATGCTCCTCAAGAACGTCAGATTGAGTCTGTAAAGGAAGTATGGGATCTTGCTACAGAGCCAGGTATTGGGCCCAATACAAACATTACATGTTTGGCACCTGTTGTATGTTTTTTTGTCCTTTCCCTTGTTTTTGATAAATATTTTGTCCTTTCCTTTTATCAGATTTTAACACATTGATCCATGTCTTATGCAGCTTTTCTTTTGTATGCTGCTTTGGTGATCACAGCAGTTTTTATACTCATATTCCATTTTATTCCAGAATATGGTCAGACACATATAATGGTCTATATTGGGGTTTGCTCACTTGTTGGTTCTCTGTCGGTATGTATAGGAATTGGTCTGTTCTTTTGTTGTTATTTCCTTACTCTTTCTGGTTTATTGTTGTTACCTTTTTTGGTATTTGATATGCTCTGACAGGTTATGAGTGTCAAAGCACTGGGAATTGCTTTGAAGTTAACATTCTCAGGAATGAATCAGTTAATATATCCTCAAACATGGGCCTTCACCTTAGTTGTAATTACTTGTGTAATTACTCAAATGAACTACTTGAACAAGGTAATGGTTTACCTTTTTGTTCTTTTTTATTTTGTTTTTCCATAATAATAGCTTTTCTTCAGCTTTTGTAAATGATATGAGCAGGTACCATACATCCAATGTGATGTATATTTCCTTATTTGAATAAGTTGACCCTTTTCAAGGTCTTTAAAGAAGGCATTGACTGCTTGTAATTTTTGTGTTTTTTATTAGTTGCTCATAATTAATGCTTACAGTAAATGGTTATATTATTTCACAATGTTTAACTAGTACGTGCTATATATATGCTTAGGTTATATCTATTAGGGGCCGTCTGGTAACAACTGAAGTGTCTGAAGTGAATGATTTATTGTCTTGTCTTTTATGTATACTATAATTAAATAATAAAATATTTGAGGATAAAGTACTCAAACCCAATTTCACCTTCAGCCATAAAGAGCTCACAATATCCTTTATAGCTTATGGCAAAGTAACAAGTCATTTCAGTTCAGCCCTTTCATCTGTTACCAGAAGGGTCCTTGGTAAACCACTGAATTAATTTATCATGTAGACATTTTTTCCTGATAGGTTACATTCGTAACGTATATTCTTTTTTTTTTTTTTTTTATAAGCAACCTTAATAGCTTATGTTAAAAGGGAAAGCAATAAGCGATTCAGTTTAGCCATTTCAGCTGTTATCAGAAAACCCCTTGGTAAATAACCTTTACCAATTTCTGTTTGTGCAATTTATAATTTCTGATTGGCAGGGAGCACACATAGATGTAATTTTAAATGTTAATGATTCCTGTATGGCCTTGTTCACGTCTCGGTAAGTCATTTACCTGGGAAACACTTGCTTGGGTAAGTGCATTTACCAGTGTTCCTTTTTTTCCCAAGGTAAAGTTGTACAATGACTGTTATATCCAAAAAACGTGACATTATTGAAGGGACAATATTGTCCCATAGCAATTTTCTATGGGGATGGGTAAGTGATTTACCCAAGTCTCATGAGGGTATTACTTGCTTGGGTAAATGATCCGCTCGGGAATTGTTCTATTCCATGGGACCCACTAATACCGAAATATGAATGCAGGTTTATTTCTTTTCCATGGGACCCACCAACTTAACCCCACCCTCACTTCTTGGAAAACGAATGAGGTCTATACGTGATGGATGCATTGTGCTTTGTAAACTAGTCATATTTGTTATATATGATTCTTATGCTTATTGTTTATGGCCTGGTCTAAGTGTTATTCTTTTCACTTGGATTTGGAAGTGCAAAGTAGTTCTTTTATTGTGCTGACTTAGTGTTAATTATTATTCTTGGGTTTGAACCTGATTTTAGGGGTCTTTGATTTTATTTATTAGCTATTGATGTGTCTTTTCATTTTTTTTTCCTTATCTTGAGTGATTTCTTATTATAAAAAATGGATTTTCATGTAAATGGTTGGTTTGGTTTGTAATATTTATTTTAATGCTTCCTTAAGTTCTATAGGCACCTGTTGTTTCAACATAGAAGGGGAAAGGAGTTTTTGTTCACAAGTATTTTGGCTATATTTTCCATCCTTGTATGGGAAATTGTTTTTCTATTTGGGGTTGGGGGTGGTTTGGTAATTGTCAGACTTTTGCATAATCATTTTTTTGCTAAGGGGGTGTGACCTCTACTAGTCAAGAAAGTACATAATATAAAAGAGTAAACTACGTTCTGCCAAAGGACTACCGACATGCATTAATTTTGGTGAAAGTAGAAGCCTCTAAATGAGGAAGTCGAAGACCAAAGAACATGTGGTACGAAGTGGCAAGATGGTGGGATAGGACTCATGTAGCCAATCCCAAATAATTGGGAGTAAGGCTGAGTTGAGTTGAGTACTAATTTCTATCATTATAGACAGGGATATCTGTTTTTTTTTTTTTTTTTTTTTTTTTTTTCACAGAGAATGTACCTAGTTCATAATAGGTGAAATTGTTGCATCTTATCTAAAGAGAAGTGATTGTTCTCTGCATCTTTTCCATGCATATTTTATGACATTGCATGTCTTTTAAACTATTTAAAAGACAGTTTCTTTACTCTAATCAATTTGTGGCTTGTCAAAACTCATTGGGTGTATTGAGAGGGGGAACTAATGGACCAAATTGAGAAGTTGGATTTGAAAGAATCTCAAAAGGATTTTCTGGAGGATAAAGATGTCTTGGAGACAGAAATCGAGGTATAAGTGGGTCAAAGAAGGTGATGCTACCACAAAATTCTTTCATGCAGTGGCTAATGGAAAGCACATGAAGAAATTTGTGGCTAGTATGAAGGTAGATGGAGTTGTCATGAACAAGCAGGAGGATATCACCAAGATCATTGTGGATCACTTCAAGTCCATTTATAGAAGGCCCTTGGCTGAAAAGCCTTTGGTGGAAGGTTTGAACTGGCCCAATTTGAGTAGGGAATCTAAAGAAGAACTGGAAAGGAAATTCGAGCTGAAGGAGATTAAAGAGGCTGTTTCTTCTATGGATAAGTTGAAGGCCCCTGGGCTGGACAGTTTTATAGTGGCATTCTATCAAGACTGTTGGGATATATTGAAAGGAGAAATAATGGATACTTTAAATGGGCTTTTTAATAAGGGGATCATTAATCCAAGACTAAATGCTACCTTCTTAATTTTGGTTGCTAAAAAGCATGGAGCTAATCACCCTAAAGACTCCAGACCCATCGGATTGGTGCATAACATCATCTATAAAATCATTATGAAAGCCTAGTCGATTTCTTGTTGTGGATTAAGGTCCTTCCAACACCACACCTAATCAAGGAGCCCTTGTTCAAGGTTGGTAGATTATAGACCAAACCAAGGTTCAAAGTATTGGAAACTCAAGGTGTATTGGAAAGGCAATTTTAAGAGACGTATCAAGATACTCTTTGGATACGTATGGATACAAGTGAAAAATCAAGATATGCATAAATATGCTAGGAAATTCAAATAGATCCTAAAGAAATATATTACTAACAATAATTACAAGTTTTATATGATTCTAAATAAGTCATTTAAATGTAAAAAAACCATAATTTTATGATTTATATAAAGTGTAAGATGTTGGGACACAATTAGTAACCGTTGAAAAATGATGGAATAACTAAAATGTGAGAAGAACAAAAGAAAAACTAAAATGTGAATGTGTATATATCAATTTTCAAATAACCAATATAATTTACCTTAATATTTATTAGTATATAAAATTTAATAATCAATTCTAGCATTTATTAATAAACACCCACTAAGAAAAGAGAATATTTACTTAAAAATAAAAATGCATATAATCATGACAAGCAAGTGGGTTCGGCTTGTTGGTGAACTTATGGCCGTTAAAATCTAGTGACCAAGGTTCAAGTCTTGCTATTGCCTAAAGTTTGTAGTTTTTATACTAACAAAATGAAATTAATGAGAGAGAGGATCATTAATTAACGGAATTAATGAGAGAATTTGAATTAGGTGCTAAATTTCAAATTCAAATTTAAAATTGTCTTAAGTTATTGGAGTAATTAACTAATTAATGAAAGAGAAGTTAGACTTATATATAGGAGTAATTAACCAAATTAATGATGGAGAATTCAGTATTAAATATAGATTAAAAAGGGGACCCGAAACGATCAAGTGTATCGGATTGTTTTGGGTCTGTATCGATACAGATCCAAAACAGCCCGATACAGGCTCGTATCTGTGCTATATATACGAAAAGAAACATCACAAATGATTTTCACACGTTCCGTGTATCGGGTTCTTGTTGGAATGATATGTATTGGCCAATACGGCCCGATACGTTGCGATATTTTGAACCTTGGACCAAACTTTTATAGCAAATGAATGTGTGATCTTTAAGCTAGAGAGAGAAATTTATGATTTGGTGGATTGGTCTTTTCTAATGGAAGTTCTGAGGAGATGTGGGTTTGGGGATAGGTGGTGTAAATTGATTTCAGGATGTATTTACACATGTCATTACTCAGTGTGAATGGAACGGTGGAGGACTCAGGCAAGGTGATCTCTTATTTCCTTTCCTTTTTACACTCTTGGTAGTCACCCATTTACAGTAGACGATATCATTCTTTTTTATGATGGGAATGATGTATTCTCAGTTAGGAACCTGAGGCCAGTTATACAACCTTTGAAAGAATTTCCAATCTCAAGGTCAATTTTGAAAAGAGTTGTTTAATCGGGGTGAATGTGGAGTAGCGGGAGGTAGAAGACTTTGCTATCATTGTAGGTTGTAAGGTATCTTCTTGGCCATTAAAATACTTGGAACTTCCTTTAAGTTCTAATTCAAGAGAGCATAGCTTTTGGGCCCTAGTTATATAAAGATTTTCTACAAAGTTGGCATTGTGGAAGAGCAATTACATTTACCTAGGAGGCAGAATCACCTATTCACCTTAATAAAGTCCACTCTAGCCAGCCTTCCATTTCCTCTCGATCTTCAAGATTCCTAGGAGGGTGGGAAAAGGGTTGGAAAAGATAATAAGAGACTTTCTTTGGGAACTAGGGGGGGGATAAAAGGGATCATTTGGTAAATTGGAAGGTCTACAAGAGTAGAAAACAGGGAGGCCCAGGAATAGGGAGCTTAGACAAGAGGAATTTGGCCTTGCTTGGGAAATGGTTATGGAGATTTCTGATGGATAGGGGAGAAGTTGTGGCATAAGGCAATTCTAAGCATTTACAGATAGATGGACAATGGGTGGGATGTTGGAGTGTTTGCCAGGGCAACTCAAGCTTCCAAGTTTCCTCTCTTGTACCAGGTATGTTGTTTGTTCTGGTAACCATGTAAAATTTTGGCAACATATTTTGGATAGGACAATCACCTTTGAAAGACCAATTTCCATTGTTGTATGCTCCATCTTCTTTCAAAGAGGAATTGGTGTTAAAATTCATTGCATCTTCATATTCGCATTCTGGTTTTGATTGGGGCTTGGGTTTTGGTTGAGGTATAAGGGGCTCTGAACTTCCAAATGTACTTAGACTCCTTCAAATTCTTGGAGGGGTGTTTTTGAATCCCTTGAACCTGACTCTAGGATTTGGACTCCATCCTCCTCTTGGTCTTGTGCATCCTTCTGTGAGGTTCTCTCACACTCATCTGTAACCACCCATCCTTTCCCTGTGAAAGAGATTTGGTGTAGACCAATCCTTTTGAGAGTTGGGCATTCTGTTGGGAATCTTTCCATGAGAAAATTAACGCTTGTGACCTACAGAAAAGGGGACCTAAGTTTTTACCTTTCTCTTTCTTGGTGCTTACTTTGCAAAGCTAATGGTGAGACATGCTATCACTTGTTTAGTATCCTGTCATTTTGTTCCTTGCATTTGGAATTGGTTTCTATTTTTTTGGTTACAGGTGGTCAAATCCTTCTAGTTTGTTAGATCTCTTTGCACTTTCTATTTTCAGGTGGCCAAGGGAGAGGGGGAGAATTTTGTGGAAATGTACTGGAAGAGCAACACTATGGATAGTTTGGGAGGAAAGGAACACTCAAATTTTCAGAGAAAAAGAAAGAGCTCAAGAAGCAATAATAGTGTATCACTATCAGAGTGGCTCATTGGGCCAAATCTTTAAAGAGCGTCTCAATTGTTTTGGTAGAGAACATTATGAGGAAATGGAGAGAGGTGGTGGGCACTTCTACAAAAAAAGAATCTGACTTACAAATTCTGGACTCCCCCAAATGAAGTTTTGATCAAGCTCAACTTCGATGGCAGTAGTAGGGGAAATCCAGGACCTTCAGGGATTGAATCCATTTTTAGGGATGAGAGAGGGATTATGATGATTATTTTCAGCACCTATTAGAGTAGGAGATTCTTTAAGTGTGGAGGTCATGGATGTTATGGAAGGGGGTACAAAGAGCAAGAGTGATGAACATAAATAAGCTAATTATTGAGGGAGACTCTAAATTGGTGGTGGAGTGGTTGAAAATTGAGGAGGCAACCCTATAGCAGTATAGAAATGAGATAAAAAGTTCCTATGACAGGCTAGAGAGATGGAAGTGAGACTTCAATGGGTTCAAAAGACAGCCAACAGCATGGCTGATGAACTAGCCAAGCAAGGGGGGGTGGGGAGAGGGAGCAAATCTTTTGGGCACAATTGTAAAGGAAGTTGTATGGGGAGATAAAAACTTGTTATCTCTCCCACTAATGCTTGTAATACGTGTTTATTAATTTGCATTAATAAAATGCCAAGTTATTTATCAATAAAAGAAAGTCTTGGAGACCTAAAGGTACCTGGACTGGAAAATGGGCATTTTTTTTATACTTAATCTGAAAATGCGCATTTCTACATATGGCTAAATTGCCATTATGAAGTTAGGCAGTTGTTTTTTATGTTACTAAAACAAAACCTGGACCATAAAGTATTGAAGTGACCATATTGTTAAATTTTCCATATTTCGTTTATCAAAAAAAAATCCATATTTTGTTCAGCTCTGATATTCAAAACATGGTCAGGTGGAGTACTACTTTGAGTGCCTAATGCTGCTTTTTAGACATGTTGTATGCACATGTGTTTTCGGTGGTTGAATCCTCTAAATGACCCTTATTTTATGGCAGGCCCTTGATACATTCAACACAGCAGTTGTATCACCTATTTACTATGTCATGTTTACGTCATTAACCATTTTGGCCAGCGTGATCATGTTTAAGGTAATTCTTTCTGCTAATTCACGTGCATCAGCATTCAATGCTACTTGCTTTGCTGTGATGTAATACTTCAAATGCTCAATGGATTAACTGAGTTTAATGGTAAATCTACAAAACAATATAGTTTCTTCTGGTCTGCAACAGTTGCAAGAGATATGTAGTAACATAGCAGCAGATGGCATATGGTGCACTTATTTGTGGCAACTCATAACTTGATTGTTTCTGGTTGTAACTTTGGATCCCCTACCCAGTGTTTTTTCTCCCCCTGTCCCTCCTATTCACTCTCTATGTGGTGGATTTGCTTTACTTATATATATATATATATATATATATACATAAAGAAAACACAAAACGTGACATTTTCAGCAACCTGTTGCTTAAAAGGCTAAAGCAGAATAACCAAACAATTCTATTTGAAAACAGGATTTAGCCAGACAATCATGATGCCTAGATACAGGGATATGACTCTATATTTCCTAAAATTTTTGGTAATAGATTCAGGTATGGGTATCTTATATTATATGCTTATATCCAATGTTCAGTGAATCGGACCGGGCATAGAACCGGAGAAGGGAGAGGTTCATGGGTTAGAGGTTCGACTGAGGTCAAACTGGAGGTCGAACCATGATGACCTGGCATATACATAATTCCATATATATACTACAGGTCATATGAATACTATATAATATATTTTACAACTTTTAATGTACTTAAATATGGTGGATGGATGGTAAGCTTTTTAATTTTTAAAACAAATGACTAGGGTTCAATCCTTTTAACTTACATTTTCTTTAAAATACATGCATAATAATGCAATATGTATAATAAATAGTCATTAAATAGTATAAGAGGTTGATTAGTGGTAATTCTTGTTAACAACATTTTAAAATTTCACTTATGTATGAACCCGGGCGGTTTCATGAAACCGGGACCAGTTCACCGGTTTTCTGGTTCAATTGGCTGATCAGCCGGTTTTCAGCGTGTTTTGAGCAAGTCCAATTATTGGGGGATGATCGAGTCAGGGTCTCGAGTCACGGTTCAACCTGTTCAACCGGCTGGTCCGGTCTGGTTTTCTAAACACTGCTTATATCATAATCTTGTGTTTATATCCAGTTTTTGAAGTTAATGCTATTCTTCAAGATTTATGTCTTGCAAAATTTAATTACATTTTTAATATGTGAAGATAATTTTATAGTATAATTTGTTAAAATATGCGACTTTCCATATTTTTCAAGTGTTAATTCTATAGAGCATCTCTATCTATGCTTATCTGGAATTGCATCTGATAAGTATTGGGTACAATTTGGTATGCTAGCTAGGCATGTTCAAGTATCTGGATATCATAGCGGACAACTTTTCCCAAACTTAACAAACAATAGTCCACCATCCACAAATACCTTAAGATAGGACTATTGATGGACTGGGTTTGGGTTCGGTCCAACCCGAATTGAATTGGACCAAAACCTGGTTCATTGACAGCCCTACCTTAAAACATACTCCATATCTTCCAACTTTATTGGTCAAAATTTAGCACGTGCATAACATAGGACAAATAAGTTCCAGGAAATTGCAAATAGATCTATCTCACTTGCATTTAAAACACAACTCTAAAAAGTAAAAACACCCTGTATTGGGTAATGGCTTTTTTGTTAAAAAGGCCCCACATGCCTTCCAAGTTAATATTCTTTAAAGATTGATAAAAAACTAATATTCTTTAAACATAACATCTGCTCACATATCGAACCTTGATTATTCAAACATGCATCACATACATGATACATTACAAAATTGAGGCCAAACTCCAAACAAAATGAATTATACCTAAGAAAAAGAAAAGTAAAGAATAATTTATGAAGTTCTGAGTTCTCAGTTTGGGCTCTTGTTCTTCAATCAGCTTAGGTGAAATTTTGGTCCGTGGTTCATATTCTCTTTATTCAAATCATGACATTCAGAGAAGTTCTTAAATTAAAAAGGATTGCTGCGTTTTACTGTAGTCATCATTTTTAGTGAAATTTGACAGAAAACTGACAAAATAAAAAATGTAAAATTCTAATTCCACACCTAAATGGAAATTAAAATTTTACACAATTTTTTTTATCCATTGAACAGTCTGATGGTTCTCTGCAGTATGGCCACTAGGCCTTGTGTGCACCCTACTCTGCCCCACCCCCAATTATCCTGTAATGTGTAGCATGTAATATATATAAACAAATATCAGTCTGGTGGTTCAATTAGATATGGATTGGATGGTTCTGGGCAAGGATCAAAATTTCGATCATAGTTTTCAAGGCACCATGGCAAGGCAGGCACCTAGGTGATGGATTTTTTTTAAGAAGAAAACATATATCCTAGGGTAGTTCCCTAGGTTCCATAACCATATTTCCATATTAATTATCCATAATTTTCATAAGAACAGTATAAACTTCATGTTAAAGTATAGAAAATCAACATATTCCAACATATTCATGAGAAGAAAAAGAAGAAAGAAAAGAAAATTCTAAAAATATAGGGGCTGAACCCCTATTTCTGTTATAAAATGTGTTGACTAGAAAACATTTTAAGTTCTCCTTATTGGTTCAGGTTTTGAAGTCTTTTGAGTGTTCAATGCAACATTTAGCAATGTTTGTGTTGATTAAACCCTAACAAATAAGAAAATAATAAAAAGAAATTAATATATAAACACACAAAATGAATATTTTAGTTTAATAATGCCTATTTTATAATTATAACCACAAAAATTTAAGAATATAATTTTTTTTTATAACACACTGTACAAAACTGCTTGGCGATTAGGCAAGGCAAGCCCCCAAGGGCACCTTGTCACCTAGGTGTTGCCTTGACAACTATGATTTTGATACGATATGCTCCGTATCAGGTGTATTGTATTGTATCTTTTGGGTCCCGAAACATATATAAAAAACTATCTAAAAACCAATTTTTGAAAAACAAACTAAAAAAATATAAAGCGCACTGTTTTTAGTACTGATCATGGATTAAGGTATCGATATTGGGCAATTTGGATATGGATATGGATATAGATACACTTTGGAAACACATGGATATGGACGAGAAATATGGTATATATTTTAAGACAAAAATAGTCATAAATAGTATTTAAATGCATAAAAATGTATATATTAATGGTATATATGATGAAATATATTACAATTAATATACCGGGATGCGTAGATATCATAAATTTTATTTATAATGCATCAATCAAGAGTCCAAGACACTAAACATATGCACCTATTATATTTTAATTATTATATCAATTATTTTTTTTATTTTATTATTTTAACATTAAAAAATAAATAAATATTGAATTCTCAAATGCAAATTAAAATATCAATTAATAATTTATAAAAATATAATCTTAACTTAAAGCATATCAAAATTGTTAAAATTTCTAAGATATATCAGATTCAAATTCATAATTTTTAATTAATAAAATAATTATTCTATTATTAATATTTTATTTATATAAATTATATTAAATAAAAAATCATTTTTGAAATAAATGTAGACTAGTGGATTTGATAGGTTCAATTTAATATTATATTTTTTAATATTTTTTGTAAACAATAAATATGTTGTTATTACTTTTTAATGTAAATTAAAATATTAATTAAACATTCGTAAAATTGTATAAAAATTTTTAGATGCATATCATGTGCAAAGTTATAAATTTTAAGTCTTAAAATAATTATTATTATTAGTATTTATTTGTATAAATTTCTTGATATTAAAAATCATCTTTTTATTAAATGTGGATTTGATAGATTATTTGATATTAGTATATAAAATACTATTTTTGAATATTATTGCTTTGAATAGTTAGAGTTAAATATAAACATGTTATTTTTTAATTGCATGTAGACACAAAAGGTAATAGAATTTTATTTTATTTTTCATTTATTATCGCAAGACGAAGTGTGGTTTAAAATCACGGCGAAAGATTGACGTTCTTTAGGTGACCTGAGTTTGTGTCGCCATATTCCATTTTTACAGATAATAGAGATCTGGAGTATTACGTGTATCAATCCGTATTGGTGTGTATCGGCCGATACAATTTGTATCAGTTTGATACAAACGATTTACGGGATACACTTCTATTTGTAGCGTATCCTGTACCGCTACGGACTGATACTGACATGGTATGCCCCATATCGGACGTATTGTGTCAATATTTATCAATACACAGAGGTGTATTGATACTTTGAACCTTGGTTCTGGGCACAAAAGATACAGTTTTTGTGAGAGTGTAACAGTTCATGTATTCTCCTCGCTGTTCAACTGTTCAATTGGTCTAAGGTAACAAAAGCTTTGTAAAAGTTAATAAAAAGGAAACCATTCAAAGTAATTGTCACTCACATGAGAAAAACCCAATTCAAGGTATGTATGCAGCTGAACTGGATGAGTGCACCTCCACTTGGTCAATCCAAGGTTTTCATTGGGTAGGCCACTAAATTGCTTTCGTAATACTGTTTTGTTGGGTTCACCTTGTGCCTCACATGGGATTTTCTTTATGAGGTGTAACAGTTTTATTTTATTTTTTAATGGGAGGTACGAAAATTTGTGTGTAATGCAACTAAACCATATTGCACCATATGTTTGTTTTCTGACTCTACTGTTAAAACAGTTGCACAGTCTCTCATCTATATCTCTATTGCATTCAAAATAACAAAGGCTTCATTCCTTCATTTGTTTGTTTGTCGCTTTATATCCATCCCCTGGTTTGTCATAGGCTATGACGTATTGCTTTAATTTTATTTTTAATGTTCGGTTCTTTTATGCTAGTTCACCTTTAATGCATTCCACTTGAAACACCAAATAGAGAAACACAATAGTTCACAAAAGAATGAGGAAACAAGCTAAAAGCAACCAGAGTAATTGTGTACAAAAATCATCTTCTAGTCTGCAGTCAACACCTTTGTTGCCTTTGTGACAGGGTGCTCCCCTGTGCCAAGCTTCAACTTTGTCCATTTTCTCCTATGGGCCTACACAACAGGGGGTAGGTGGTAGGCGTCCCCAAACTCCATATCTCCCCTGACCAAACCCTAGTGAATGTGGGAATTGATCCCAAGTCTCCTTTACAACCAGCCTTACCAACTGTGAGCCAGTTTGCATCTTCCTCAACTTGGTCTTAACAACTAGGGTTTTGTGGCACTTTTCCTTGAGATGTTGAGTGTTTTCTATAACTAGACATTTAGCATATCAATTTAGCTGGTTTCAAAAGCTGAGTTGAAGTTTGCAATTCTGGCTTATAGTTTGTGACTACGAGACACTGACTGGCCAAATGGTGAGTTTACCAGAAATCTAATGCAACAGCTTCTTATCTGCTGGACTACTAACTTAAGACTGTTGAGGGCAAACTGCAAATTCAATGATATACCTTAGGGCTGTACACAGGTCAGTTCGGTTCGGTTGTATATAATTTACCCAACTGAACCGACCGACATCCTCGGGTTCACATTCTTGCCACCTGAAATTGACCGAGATAACCTGAAAACTGACCTAAATATAGACTCGGTTTGGTTGGTTGGTCAATACAATTACCTATATCCTATTGATTTTAATCAAGTGAACAGTCACTGACAACTGTCTATCTCTCTAGCCCTATTGCAGTTTGGATCTGTTAACAGCCATTGCTGCACATCAGGAACAATTTAGCCAATTATCAAAGGCGATATAGCCCTACTGCAGTTCAGAAAGTATAATCAATTTAATGTCTGTACCATTTGATGTTTGTTTTGAATTGAAACAGAGGCTAGAGGCTAAAGCTAGTCTAAAAAGTAAAAAGTAAAAAAGACAACATTTAATGCCTGTACCATTCATTTAAAGATTAAGCGTTTCCATTTCTTGTTTCTTTAATAGGTAAGTTAACACTCAAAAGACATTATTTAAATTTATTGCCTTGAAGGCAGGTTGGTTCTGTTTATTGGTTTGCACATTTATAAGCTGAAAACCGATCTGACTGTTAAGGTTTTATTTTTTCTTGAACCGAAATTGATCATTATTAACATTTGAAAACCAACCAATCCGGTTTGTCGTATTGGTTTGATTCATTTCATGAACAGCCCTAATATACCATTTTCAGTTTTTGGCATTATCATGTGTGTTTTCTGTCTAGTAAGCTAATTAATCTACACCAGCTGTTTAAATTTCGGTTTGGTTGGGAATAGGGCTAGAATTTACATTGTTGATGTTTGGTGTCTCTTGTCTGGACTAGGATTGGGATCGGCAAAATCCGACACAGATTGTCACAGAAATGTGTGGGTTTGTGACAATCCTTTCTGGCACTTTTCTTCTTCACAAGACCAAGGACATGGCTGATGGTACGTTCTCTTATGCGTATTCCATAGATTCTTGATGACTAACTCCCAAATGATCTTGTGGGTCGATATATTCTTCTCTTTGACAGTAAAATCTTTGTATTTTTTTTCCTATTTTGGATGAGTCTTTGGTAGCAAAACAAATAATAACAATTGATGGTCTTTGTACAGGTCTGCCCACTTCTACGTCCTTCCATCTTAAGCACACCGACGAGGATGGTTTTGATCCGGAAGGAATTCCTCTTAGACAGGAAGTCTTCTGATCACTGTGATGCATCATTTTTGTTCATCCATCAAAATTCATATACTTTTCCGGGGGAGGGATCTCACTACCTTCAACCTGTATTTTATCATATACATTTGACCAACTACAGCATATTCTTTTGAATATGATAAAAAACTAGGCAGGGGAGTATTTTTGGGATCGAAACCACATGATCGTGTTTAGCCATTGCGCGTTTCCCTGCCTGCCTTCCCTCTCTGTCCGCATGAGACTTGAAATTGTAATCTTGAGCACATTGATTCTATATATAGTTGTGTATTTTAGATTCAATTTGGCAAGAAATCAAGGACCTTTTCAC